ATATAGTAGATTATTCTTATTCAGGAAGATAAAATCATGAGATTATTAAACTGAGAGGACTTTCCTTTTCAGGCTAAATATTCCTAGATTCATATAAAATTTTCCTACAGGTTTATTTTTTCCACAGTTGTGCTATTATATCATTAAAAAAAGTGAGCACTCAGTACAGTTTTGTTGAAGGAATTATATTGTTTTGTATGTCTACATACATGAAGGTCTTCATCTGCACTTGGATTTTTTGCACATGTATACTGACATCCCATTTTTGAAAGCAAACATAAATTAGTCACCCATCTACTCAGACCGTATTAGGTGGTTTAAAAACAACAGGAATTTATTTCTCAGAGTTCTGGAAGTTGGTAATCCAAGACCAGAGGATCAGCAGATGCAGTATCTGGTGAGGACCCACTTCCTGGTTCCCTGTGTCCTCACATGGCAGAAGGAGCAAGGGGTTACTTTTATAAGGGCACTAATCCCACTCATGAGGGCCCCACCTTCATGATGTAATCATCTCTCAAAGGCTCCACCTCCATATTCCATCACACTGGGTGTTAGGATTTAACCTGAATTTTGAGGGGACACAAACACCCAGTATTTAGAAATCCCACAATTAAAATTTAACAGTGATGTGTTACTTTGTTACAATAATGGCTTCTAGTGAACCATGCCTCCATGCCCTTATTTAACACTCTCCCTTTCCCCCCCACCCTCTCTCCTTACAGGTAGCTCTTTTGGACAGAACCTAAGATGACTCCCAAAACTGAGCTTATGACATGCATGAGAACTAGCTCTCCCTTTCTCTCATAATATGGTCCCTTTTATTATCTTGAGCCTTTTATAACTTTTCTCACATTGATTCTAGGTTTACTTGCTTGGTTGACAGTAAAAAATATATACAGTAAGCAGAGACTAGAAAAGAGCTTGTGCGTTAGGACTTGCCCTCCTGTTCTCCTGAGATCACCATTTAAAGAAGTTTAGGCTAACCTAAAGGATATGACCACAAGTAGCAGAGACCAGCTTGCTAAGATATCCTTTAGATATCCAGCTTTAGATATCCAGCTTTAATCAAGCAGGTTAACTGTAAGCACATGAGTGACCCCAGGCACAACCAGCAGAAGAAATATAAACATGTATATATCAAATAAAGCCACTTCTATCAGACAGTGGAGGTACAGTACTATGGGTCTGGTGAGGCCAAACTCTGTGGAGCAGGCAGGCTGGCAGGCTCGAAACTCCCTGGGAGGATCTGATGGTGCAGATTTTAGGTAGAGTTTTTCTCTCAGGGTGATTTCAGTTTTGCTCTTAAGGTGATTCAACTGATTAGATGAGGTCCATTTGCATTATGGAGTATAACCTCCTTTACTTAAAGTCATCTAATTGTAGACGTTAACTGCCTCTACAAAATACATTCATAGCAACTCCTAGGTTAGAGTTTGAATACTAGTGTTATTACTGTAGCCTAGCCAAGTTGACACATAAAACTTACCATAATAGAAGTCATCATGAATAATAAACACTTTACAGTGCCACCCACTCAATCAAAATTAGCACCCCATTAGTCAACCTACTTGGTACTTATTAAACCCCTCATCCATATCAAGTTCATAAAGGGCCGAGATAATAGAATTTGAAAAGATTAACCATGGGAGCTTAATAATGAGAAGAAGGGAGAGAGCTGGTTCTAGTGCATGCTCATGAGCCCAGTTGTGGAGTCATCTGACATTCTGCCCAAAAAAGACACCTGTGGGAGTAGAGCTGGGTGGTCGGGTGGTAGTTGCAAATGGACCACAGTAAAGAAAAGCTGGATATCACCCATTTGCAAGGAGGGAGTAGAGCTCCTCCTTCTAATGAAGGAAGATGAAATAGAGATAAAGGGAACTTCAGGTGACAGTCCCCAGTGATGTGGGATTTTGTCCCCAAAGAACCCTTAAACATCTATGAGCGTCTCATTGATATAGTGCTTAAGTAAGCTCTTGGTTTTTTTTTTTTTTTCCTCTCTCCATTCTGCTCTAGCCCTGCAGTTATTCAAAAACGATGTTTAACAATAATGTGAAGTACAGTCTCTAGGTAAAGAAAGAGAAGAATAAACCACATCCCAATTCCATGGCAACAGCCTTCTCATTTACCATGAGCACAAGCCTAGGGCAGAGGACAATACCCAAAGTTAAATCAAATGTAGAGTTTTGATGTTAGAATGAGTATTTCAATTACTGAATGAAACTGTTTTGCAACTTAAAGTGACTGCAAAACTTTTTATTACCTAACTGTATTTAGAAATCATGGTATCTGTCCAAGTTTCTTAAAGTAACATTTTTATAACCTTGTGTTCTTTAAGCCTTTAAATTCAACCTAAATATTATTATGTTTATAAAGTAACATGTCACTTTTCTAAAAAAAAAAAATAATTACAAAGTGACTCCAATTGAAAGGACTAAATGCCCTTAATCAGCTACATTTGAAACTTGGTTTAATTGCCTTAATTTAAAACTGCATTTATTGGGTTGTTGGAAAAGTCATGACGTATTTTTTTCTATGTTTTTCATTGCAAAAATGCGTCATAATTTTTCCGAGAACCCAATAGAATTCTAATCGTTTTTATTCAAGAACTTCAGATGCCTGACTTAACAAGAAAAACTTTCTCAATATTTAAACAACTTTTATAAAGCCAGTAAATTAAACTTAACACTATAGCAACTCCCAAGTTGTTAAAAAAAATCTCAATACTATTTGTAAACTTGGCTAAATTCTTTTACTTTTTAACTAAAAGTCTTAAATCCAGAAAGTGTATGGTCAGTAATTTAATATTACGAGTATGTGTTTTATACACATAATATATTTTAAATGATAGTTTTAAAGTCTAGGTGTATGGCAAACTTTCTAGGTGTATGGCAAACTTAGAGTCTAGGTGTATGGCAAACTTTCTTAAACATAAGTACCCTGAAAATCAAATTTACGTCATTCCCAAATATAATTTCAGAATATGAAAGTCACAGGTTTTACTTTACTTCTTTTTCCTCTATTAATTTTAAACTTTGCTATGGTGAAAACATTTAACCCAATGGCAGTTACCTGGTCAGGGACCTGAGATGATGATGAGAGGAGGTTCCTGGCTTATTTATACACAAGATCTGCTTTTTAACTACCTAGCGGTAGATTTCCTGAGTTGTTTTGTTTTTCTGAATTATCATTACACACACACACACATATGCAGGATTTAAGAGGAAAATAGTTCTTTACTCAGTCTAGTTAAACACATCAGGTGTTTTGTCAATTGGAGTACCTCTTCTATTAGTTTCTTGGGAAGGGAGCCACATATTGGAAATGATTACTTCTCAGAAATTTGAAGCACTATTTTTTTGTTTTCTGTTTGTTTCCCCTAGCTTCCAGTGTTGATGAAAATAAAGAATTGTTTGGATTTTTTATCTTTGGTGTGGTACCTGCTTTATTTCTTTCTGGAAGCTTTTAGAATCCTCTCCTTGTTTACAGTGTTGTAAAATTTTACAAGATTTGTGCCCAGTTGGTAGAAAAGAGCCGGAGAGTCTCAAAATATATAAACAGACATTTACTTAGCCATCATTTTCAGCTTTTCACCATGCTACCTTTGTTCTCGCTTGTGTGCCCTGTATCAAACACTGTTTCACTCACTCCAGAGAGAAAGCGCTGGTCTTCTGCCTGGCGGTAGGAGGGAAGATTATGGCTGTATCCAGTGAGAGAGTGGTCTAAACTTTAATAAATCCACCTGCTCCCATCCCTGTATCCTAAGATCCTTGGTATCAGTTTTTGAGATTGATGCTGACAGAGGTCAGAAAACTTTACAGCTTTTCCCTCTTCAGCTTAAGATTCACTTTTATGAACTCTGTTGAGTCATTTACTAGTCCTATTGCCTTTCCAGCTTCTAAAATTTGCTATCATTTCCTTTCCAGTTGTCTTCATCCTTGTGAAATTTATAGCCTTCCCTTTAAAAAAAAAAATTTAATACCATTAGTGGTATTTCATTGTATTTGGGAAGGAGCTGAGGCAAATAAAAATACTTGTTCAGATTCTCCAATATTTAAACAAACACCATCAACATTTTTTTTGTGTGTGATAAGTGTGGATAAGTAGTCTATACCATTTAGAGATGGTAAATCACTTATGGATTCAAGAGAAGCCTTTACATAATTTTTCTTTTAATTGAAAACTACATTTCTTCAAAAGATGCAGCTAATTTCCTTTCCTAATTTATTGGATTGGATTTTGCATTTCTTTAAAAAGCATATATTCTTTCCTATCTAATTCTAAAGATATTTTAATACTTTCCCATAGGCTCTTGTATATCTCTATATAAATTATTGACATAAGAAACATCTAAACCTATAGAGAATTTCTATAACCATTTATTTGGGCATTCAAGACAAATATCTTTAAAAAGCTTTTGGTCAAACTAATCAAGGCTGCAGGCTACACGTTTAGCCCCCTGATTTAGGAAATAGTTGATCTTTAGATTCATAAAATAAAAAACATAAGCTTCTTCTAGGTTTCCAAAAATTCATGATCAGTGTTTTTTCAAGCATTTGTTTTCTCACAAAGATTCATTTAGCTACTCCCGGAGCACATCCTACAGTTTTTTAGAGTTACCTTGTATAAATGTTTCCCAGGTGACCTGACCTGTGACAATTGATGAGGAGTTCAGTATCTATTGGGTTGTCGGAAAAGTCATGACGTATTTTTTCTATGTGTTTCATTGAAAAAATGCATCATGACTTTTCCGACAACCCAATAGTTAGCTAGAGAGATAGATCCAAAGATTAAATGGTGTGATAAAGGACTGTAGAGGTTTGAAAACACATATGACGGAGCAGTGCTTCTTAGAGGTGGATGATATTTGAGCTGAGCTTCGAAGAATTAATTCTCTCGGAGAATTAGCAGTCAATCTTTATTTTACTTATTATCCTGTTAAATTTGTAGTTATTTTTTTAAATGTTGTTTATTTCATTTTATCGTCATGATTTTTCCCCCCAGATTTTGTGTACAAGTGCTTGTGGAAAAGATGGCTGATATTAACCTCAAGGAAGTAACTTTAATAGTAGGTGTGGTTACTGCCTGCTATTGGAACAGCCTGTTTTGTGGTTTTGTTTTTGATGATGTTTCAGCAATCCTGGATAATAAAGACCTGCATCCATCTACACCTTTAAAAGCTCTCTTTCAAAATGACTTCTGGGGAACCCCTATGTCTGAGGTAAGTAATTGCTTATGTATTACTTACATGAATGTCAGATTTTAAAATAACCTGGTGGTTTATCACTCTTTATCAATATTGTCATCATGGTAATTAATGGATTTTTTCCCCCAAAATTTTATGAGACGTGTTTGTAATAAATTAGATAGGAAGTTGAAGATGTGATTATCTTCTTTAAAGCAGTACTTGTTTCTTTCCTTGGTTGTATACCTTGACTTAATCTTTTTAATAATAATATGTGTGTATGAAAAGCAAATATGATAGGAGAACAGTAGGTGTAATATAAGTTTATTTTTGCTAACTGACTTTACTTCTTTGTCTCTCTCTTGTGAGTGAGGCAAAAGAGATGACTACTTGTAATATATTTAACCATCTAAAAATACGTGTAACTTTAATAGAAATGAGACTTTAAGGGTAAAAATAGTAAGTAAACATACTGCCAATTTTTCTGCAGAAAAAAATGTGATTTATTTAAAATTTTAAATTTGTGTCATATTTTACCTAATAGTTATTTTGATTTTTATATTGAGAACCCAAACATTTAGTTCATTTTTATTGGAGTATTTTTCCTTTGCCAGGGACTTTATTTTGAAGGTCAGTGTTAAACTGGGATTAAATCCTTGTCAGTTTGGGATTATATATTGGGTTGTCGGAAAAGTCATGATGTATTTTTTCTGTTTTTCGTTGCAAAAGTGCGTCTTGACTTTTCTGACAACCCAGTAGATTGGATTCTAATTTAGTTGTATTGCATAATAGCTGTGTGAAACAGGTAGGAATATAGCTTTAAGATGGCATGTCACTTTCCTAATCTATGAAAGAATAATACCTTGAGGATAAATGAATGAATTTATCTACATGTGCCACATAGTTGTTGAAACATCACGTATAACATTCTTTTATAGTTATAGTTTGTTAGTTGTCACTCATGGGCCATTTCTGCATTCTCCAAATCTGGAAGCTTCTCAAGCATGGTAATGGAATCTTTCACTCCCCTAGTCACGAGCACATAAAAAGTATTTTTTCTTATGAAATAAGCAGACTTTATTTTCCTCTAACCTTCTGTTCTCATCCAGTTCTAGCCTCTAAAAAATAAATCTTTTGTTAACAAGGGAAAATGTGCTCCTCTTAAAACATACGTTATTTTCTAGACAATTGATTTCTCCTTGACTCCTGCCTTTTATCCCCAGAGCCTTAGAAATGTGTCCATTCCCTTATTTTATGGGAGTGTCTTTTGTGATTTTAATCATGGCATTGAGATTTTGACCTGAAAGGTTAGCTGTCCAGATTAAATGGCTCATGAAAGTTACCATGCTATCGTTTTGTGATTTTCTCAGCTTCACAGGTGAAAATTTAATTTGTTCAGAGCACAATTAAGCAGGCACACTAGGAAATAATAAACTCAGATGGAATGGATGAACAAATTGGAATAACAGTTTATAGTGAGGAGTATTTCTTCCTTGTATTTTCTGATGGGCCTGTTCTCCCCTGTAGGGAAATGTGCCACTCGGGAAAAATTGTTCCGTCATATTTAGGTGTCATAAGTTCTCTCGACAAGCCTGGAATTAGCACATTCAATGACCTAATGGTTGATGTCATCGAGTAATATAACCCAAAACTTTGTAAGGATTTTTTGTAATGTAGATCTTAAAGAAGGTTTAATGTCTATTTTTCACCTGTGTGTATTATTCTTAAATCTGGTTTGATTTTGTCTTACAGTAAAAATAATTCTGGTTAAATGTAACTTCTAGTTTATTAAGAAATTCAGTACTTTACAAAATATTTTATTTATTGTCTGTAGAGACTACCATAGCACAGGTATATTTTCTCTTAGTCTAGGAAAGTTTTTGGTCTTGTATTACTTTCTGTAGTATTTGGGGATTTTTGGTTTAATATATTCAGGTTTATACATTATGGAGGTGTTTTCATAAAACAACTAGACAGTACCTTTTTGAGTTATTATTATATAAACTGTACTGGTAAGCATTCCATTCTTATATTTCCTTTAGAAGATCTAGCCAGGAGTTATATAAATGCTTGTATTGGTATTAGATTGGGAAGCAGGCTTTAGATAGAACCCCTGTACTTAAACTTAATCAATGTCACTATTGTCCTATTTTTTTTTTTAACCTGTGCATTGAAGAAGAATTAATAGTCACATGTTCATACTGTACTGTTACTTCTCCGATCACTATGTATCTAAGAGGAAGTTGCCTTGTTTTTGGACTAAGGAAATAGGAAACACAGATTATAAAACTATCTTTCATGTCTGTGTTATTCTTGAGGCATTTTGTTATTTTGTTGTTGTTTCTCAGCCAAATGTAGATACTTTCAATAGTAAATACATTAGTTTATATGCCCTGAAGGACTGAGATACTTAAGTAATCAATGATTGTTTTTTCCTTTAGGAGAGAAGCCACAAATCTTACCGTCCATTAACAGTGTTGACATTTCGCCTAAATTATCTGCTTAGTGAACTGAAACCAATGTCATATCATCTCCTAAATATGATTTTTCATGCTGTGGTCACTGTGATATTTCTTAAAGTCTGCAAACTTTTTCTGGACAACAGGAGTAGTGTGATTGCTTCTTTACTCTTTGCAGTGCACCCAATACACACAGAAGCAGTAAGTAAAACTGTAAATTAATGTTTATTTCATTATTTTTTTAAAGCCTACACAGTGATTATAATGATATATATTTTTAAGAAAAATATTTAACTGTAACTTTAATCCAAGTATTTGAAAACCCTAACTTTTTTTAAAATTAAATTTACTGGGATGACAATGATTAGTAAAATTACATAGGTTTCAAGCGTACAATTATACATCATCTATCACATTGTGTATATTACTATAATAAGCCTTAACTCCCTGGTGTACAAGAGTCTAACTTCCTACTACATAAAATTTTATAATTTCAAATTATATGAAACATATGAATTATATTAAAATATAAATATAAAATATAAATACAATATATAAAAATATTAAAATTTTATAATTTCAAATTATATGAAATAAATTATATGAAACAATTTATGTTTCAAAGTTTTTGAAACAAATAGTTATTCAAGAACATAAGGTATGATCGTTCAACTTCAGTAATATAACATATAAATGAATACAGTTCTGTTCTTTGTTAATTGTTTTATGAATAATTTAAAAAATATTTGTCAATTTGACATTGTTTGTGTTTCAAAGGACAGAAAATAGTCAAGGCAAATTTAAGTAAGGGATGAAAATATGTCAAAATATATACAAACATGAACAGCCACCCTAACAAATGACATTCAGTGGTTTCATACTGTCTGCTGCCATTGTTTCAAAACTGTGAGCTGTCTCTGCTGTCGCCCATGTGTCCGTCAGCCCGTACCTACCAAGGCATACTCAAACCGTAACTTTATTGTTCTTGTTAACTTTGAAACTCCAAAATTACCTCTCAGCAGAGCAAAGAACACTGTGTTCAATGGCTTTGTTTTGGTCGAAAACAAAAGATTATGTTTAAATTTTGTGTGTGTGTGTGTTGGAGGGGGTTGCATGTCCCTCCTATCTTGAACCTTTTGATGTCTGGCTGAACAGATATTTGTCCATGCGTTTACAAAAATGATAGATTGTTTTAAATTTTGCAGTGAGTTCAAAATACTTTAAAGGGAGGCTTGGTGTCTTATGTTTAAATTTTTAGAATTTAAAAAGGACTTACTAACATTTATTGTTTTTTAAAACTTTAGTTTGCAGATTTATTAGGAAATATAACCCTGAATTTATGATACCTTTGTATACTAAGAACTTGTATTTTAAGAATATGTAAGAAGTACTTAGCTTTTTTTAAAATTTACTTAAGAACTATTCTAAATATTGTATTATAATTATGTAAGATGTTACCATTGGGGGAACTGGGTAAAAGTTACACGGGACCTCTCTCTGCTATTTTTGCAACTTCCTGTGCCACTGTAATTTCAAAATAGTACTACTGATAAAAGAACTTTAAAGAGTCACTGATAAATTTATTTTTATAGAAGATACACAAATTCACCACATGAGGGCACCCAAAGAATGTCTAAGAAAGAATTGTACCCGTGAACAGTTAATGGCAATTTAGTTTCTAATTAAAGTGCTGTTGTTATTATAGTATATAGTTAAATTTTCAAGATACTCTTCATTAATATGACTTCTTCCTTTTCCTTTCTAGGTAACAGGTGTTGTGGGAAGAGCAGAACTTTTGTCATCTATATTTTTTCTAGCTGCATTTTTGTCATATACCAAATCAAAAGGACCAGATAATTCTATAGGTAAATGTCTAGCACTTTTGTCATATACCAAATCAACATGTATATATATATACATATATATGTGTGTGTGTGTGTGTGTGTGTGTGTGTGTGTGTGTGTGTGTGTGTGTGAGTGTGAGAGGAGGGTTTAATTTTCTATAGCTGTAAAACTTGATCACGTAATTTGTAATTACCTTTTAGTGCTTCTTGTTAAACATATGCCACACTTGGGGTTTATATTTATATATTGTTTTACTTGAGCATGTATGGACATATGAAAGTATGCAACTCTGTCAATATTAAAAATTTTTGCATGTAGTTTATATTTTATCATGGCTAACAGATTCCATGTGATTAATTTTTTAAAAATTACCATAGAACATAGGAGTTTTAGGGTTATTCTTAGTTTCATCTTCTGTACCTATAAATGATACTTCAGTTGTCTTTCTGTAAATAACACCTCTGAAGGCTGTGATTTATATTGTTTAGGCAAAGTTAAAAGCCTATTAAAGTGTGATTGGGAGGATCACTTCATAAATTATATAAATGCCTAACCACTGCGCTGTATACCTGAAACTAATATAAAATACTATTGAATATCGACTATAATTTTAAAAAATATATAGTCACGGGTATAAAGTACTGCGTAGGGAATATAGTCAGTGGTATTGTAATAGCTATGTACAGTGTCAGAGGGGTAGTAGACTTGTTGGGGTTATCACTTTGTGAGGGATGTAAATGTCTAATCATTATGTTGTTTTGTACACCTGAAACTAATAATAAAACAAAAGCCTATTAGAGTGTAACTTTTATTATGTGTTGATCATAGTTCAGCTATTTATTGAGTCCCTACCATGTGGCCTACCCTGGAAAATGCTTTGTTGCATTAACTTATTAGTCCTGATGATGCCTGGCATTGTCAGAAAACAAGTTCTAAGCAATAAAAATGATTTTTTAAGCGTGTGGGCAGAGTGGGCATGAAAGGGGCTTCACATAGTGGCCTTAACCTATATTTGGTTGATCTTAAAATTTAACTCTTGAGTTTTTTTGCTATGTTCTTAGAGAATTTTCTCATTATAGACCCAAGGTACTGATGATAAGGAGCCTAACTTTGTATGTTTGGAAACTAAGGTTCAAGAAATAAGTGATTTAGCCGAACAGCTTTAGTGTCTTAGATTTGTAATGTGAGTAGGTTTGCATAATGCAGTCGTAAAACAGTCTGAGCCGCAGCATCGCATAGATAGAGCTCAAGAGCATGGGCTCTACCAGGTCCACCGCTTATTTGCTAGCTCCATTCACTGCTTTGGGCACATTACTTAGCCTCTTTGTACTTCAGGTTTTTTTTATAACATGTAGACAATAGCAGCCCCTACCTGTTGTGAGAATTAGATGAGGTAAACGTGAAGGCATTTAGAGCAGTACATGCACATAGTAAGCAGGACATCTGTATTCCCTGTTGCCTCTCGTGCAGTGAGAGTTGTTAGTTCGGTTAACTAATATTGAATTGCAGATCAATGTCCTCTTTAAATACCATCATAAGCAAAGCATGAATGTAAACTTAGGAGACATGACCTGCGGGACCGGGATCAGGCTCCTGTGACCTCGTTAACCATGTCACTGCCGTCTTTGCCCCAGCTAGCTAGCTTCACTGCACCGAGATACACAGACCTTGTTGTGCACCAGAAAGGTGAAGTGCCTGTCTTTATACTTGCTGTTCCTCTTTTTTGAATTTTCTTCCCTTAGAGCTTCACATAGTTGTCTCATCTACATTCTTTTTTATATCTTCAGGCCTCTGCTCAACTGTTTCTCTCCCCTACCATAAAGTAAAATAGGCTTTCACTTTATCATATTTTTCTTCTAATAATTTTACTTTGTTCTTTTTAATGATTTTTTTATCCTTCATAATTCCAGTATCTTCCCTTATTTCCTTTAGATTTAGTTATTTTAAATTCTAGGTAACTTTCATTTTCTATCCATTTCCTAGAATGTTTCCTGGTATACAGTAGGTGTTCAGTATATATTTGTTGAGCAAATGGTCAAGTGAATGAATGTATGCTATTTTAAATTCTAATTGAAAAGCTGCTGAGACCTGCTTTGGACCTCTATCGTCTTAACACCTATGATTCTTCTTCCACATTACATAATTTTATGCTTGAGACCTCAGTTTCATCATCATCTTTGTATCCCCCATTCTATCGAATGTATGTTGTCCTATGCAAAGATTTTTATTTTGTAATTTAACCATTTTAAATTCTAAAGTATTCATAACCCATACCTTCTTATAAGCGTGACCCATCTCAGGGCCTTTGCACTTGCTTTTTTATTACTTTAGGTTTCTGCTCAAATGTTATCAGTGGCACCACTTCCCCCACTCCTTTTTTCCCTTCACCTTACACTTTTCTCTGTAACATTTAGGTGACCATTTGGAAAAATTTATCTTTACTTGATTTGATTATAATTCTCCCTCACAAAATGTAGTAGCTATTTAAAATAACTGAATACATGATTGCTGAAGGTGTGTATCTTTATACATGTAAAATTAGTTTAGTAACCTATATTTTGAAATTGGAATGGATTTTAATGATTGAAATTGATTCTATCCTTATACATGGTTTTCTTTTTGTTTTTGTTTTGTTTTACTGTTATTAACTTAACTAGCAGAGGTATTTGTTTTGGACAAAATCACACATGGTAACTTTAGCCACAGAGATGTGATTATAAAACTGAAAGTGCATATGTTTGTGTAGCGATTTAGTCACCAAAGGTTAAAGAACTGAAATGACTAGTTTCAGTAAAGCTTTTGCCTTTATTAGAGCTATTAGTTGCTGAGATTGAATTTAACGTTAAGGAGTGCAACTGTTTGCTTTCTTTTCCTTAGAGTGGAAATAAAAATTAATAAGCAGGTCTAAATTTAGTATCAGAAGAACCAAGTTAAAGTCATGATCTCCTTATAGTTCATGACTTGTTTTTAAACCTCCAAAATTCTTTCCTCATCTAAAAAATGGGTACGATTACATCTACCCTCTTATGCCAGAATAATTTTGAGACTCAATAAAATAATATGTGCTACATTAGTCATATAAACAGTTTAATGTATGTTTTTAAATACTTGTTTTCAAGGCCATTGTTTCCCACTAATTTTTAACATATGAATACCCATTGATTTTCCTGTTCTCTGTGTTATTCATTTGCCAAGCTTCTTCCCTCCTTTACTCCTTTATTCATACTTTGTATCCTTCAAAGTCCAACTTTAGGTTTAACTTGTTTTGTGAATAATCATTTACTGATATCTTTTCTTTATGAAATTCTTATTGAATTTAGCATAATATTTCAGCCCTTGGTATAATCTAGTACATCAGTATTGATGGCTTGGGTCTAATTAGAATATGAAATTATTTTTGAGCAAGGGATACTACTACACTTAGCATCTCCAACAGTGTTTGGGTGTTTGATTGTTTTTTTTTCCCAGTAATTTTAGTTTATAAAGTACTTTAAAATTAAAAACAATTTCAAAGCTTATAAGTTTCTCTTCTCCAAATTGGCCACCCTACCTTTGTTTTAAAAGTTAGTATTTGGTTAGTTAATTTTCCTCTCTATGAAAAAAATTTTAGTTCAAAGTATACATCTTGATATTTTGTTTTGAATATATAAAGCAAAAATTATGACATTTAAATGTGTTTTCAAATATAAAGTATAATTCAGTAGAAAATAATGCAAATAGGAATATAGAATCACAGATAGTTTTTTAGTAATGTGTAATAGCTGCCTTACTTAAAATATCCTTTTGTGATATAAAATTGTTTTGTGTAGTTTTATATTTTTCTGTTCTTAAATTACAGTGTGGACTCCAATTGCATTGACAGTGTTTTTAGTGGCTATTGCAACATTGTGTAAAGAACAAGGAATAACAGTGGTGGGAATTTGCTGTGTGTATGAAGTATTTATTGCCCAGGGGGTAAGGAGAAATATAAATTTTCTGGTTACTACCTTTTTTCCTATTGATTTGTATTTGCTATAATAAACTTATTTTCTAAATGCGTCATTATGTAAATCCAGTCTGTTTATCAATGATACCAAAAATTTTCAAAAAACAAGCATTTTTTTCTCATACCCACTGAAAATTACTTAACGTTTTATAACACCTCCAACTTTTTAAAGACTGCTTTTTAAGTTTCGATAATGAAATTGTTAGGCAATTTGGAAAAGTACACAGTAATATTGTACAGTGTAATTATTGGATAAGATTATCAGGCTGTTTCATTCATTATCAGTTCCACAAATTGTTCCATACTGATTTTATATTTACAGTCAATTTCTATCTAATCTTGCATGTAGAAAGCACTATATTGTTGAAAACATTGTAGTATATGTTTATTTATTGAAAACTTGTTTTCTTTTCCAGTATACGTTGCCATTATTATATACTGCTGCTGGACAGTTTCTCCGTGGAAAGGGTGGTATTCCATTTTCTATGCTGCAGACACTAATAAAACTCATTGTTTTGATGTTCAGTACACTATTACTTGTTGTGATTAGAGTCCAGGTTATTCAGTCCCAACTTCCAGTATTCACCAGGTATGAAATTCTGTTTTGTTGTTTTTCCATCCTTTTTAAATTAACTTTGGATTTTAAGTGATTGTAAATATTTCAGAAAGTTTTTTATTTACATTGAGGTTTTTTAAAAGCTTTGAGTAATAAGATTTTTTTTTAATCTGTGTACATTTAAAATGTACAAATTAATAAATTTTGTGATACGTGTACACTTCATGAAACTACCACAATCAAGAAAATAATGACCCTCAAATTGGTTAAGTGTTAAGTCTTCTATTTCCTTAGTGATTTTTGTCTGTTCTGTTAATTATTAGAGGATATTGAAATCTCTGACTATAACTATAGTTATATTCCTCCTTGAAGTTGAATCAGTTTTGCTTCAGATTTAAAACTCTATTGTTAGTACTTAAACATTTTGAATTGTAATTTCTACTTGATGAATTGATCCCTTTATCATTATTAAATGAGCTTCTTTATCCCATGTAATAGTCTTTACTCAGAAATTTACATTGTCTTGTATTAATATAGCTACTCAAACTATCTTTTGTTAGTGTTACAAGATTTATCTTTTCTCATGCTTTTACTTGTTATCCATCTAAATCTTTATATTTAAAGTTGGGTCTTCCTTTTTTGTTTTACATATAGTTGGGTCTTCCTTTTTTGTTTAGTCAGATAATCTGTCTTTTAAATGGGGTGTTGCGGCTATTTACATTTAATGTGGTTACTGATATTGTTTGATGTAAATCTACTATCTTGCTAATTGTTTCTTCACTCCATTACTTTGTTACTTTTTTCTCTCTGCCTTCTTTTGGATTGAGTTTTTTATTATCATTCCATTATTATTTCCTTGTTGCCTTATAAGATGTAAGTTTTTGCTGTGCTTTTTTAGTCATTACTGTATTTTTTTTTTGTATACATCCTTTATCACAGTTTATCTTCAGTGGATATTATAATTTTAAGTATATATAGTATAGATGTCAGCATCTATAGTATAAGCATATATATAATTAATAAATTCATATATAAATATATAAAATTGTCATAAATAAGGACCTAGCCTTTGTGCTATTTGCATATGTTTTCTTTGAGTATACATTATAAATGCCACAACACATTGTTGTTATTCTCTGCTTTAAACAATTACCTTTGGAAGAGATTTAAATAATTTTTAAAAGTCATTTATATTAACACACAGAGAGTTACCATTTCTAGTGTTCTTCATTTCTTTATTAGAGCAAAATCTTCATTTGGTACCATTTTCTTTTGTGACTGAAGGCTTTAACATTTCTTGACATGTAGGTCTGCTGGTGATCAATTCTTTTAGATTTTATATATAAAAATATCTTCACTTTGCCTTTGTTTTTGAACAATATTATCCCTGAGTGTAGAATTCTGTGTTGACTGGTTTTCATTCAGTACTCTAAAAATGTTACTCTACTATTTTTATTTTACATTGTTTTCCATGGGAAAGCTTCTGTCATCCTTATCTTTATGCTTCTGCAGGTAGTGTGTCTTTTTCTGTTCAGCTTTTAATATTTTTTTCTGTACCATTGTTTCTCTTCTCTTTATTTTTTGAGACATAATTGACATATAACATGGTATTAGTATTAGGTGTACAACATAATGATTTGCTGTATAGACAGAAATTATTACCGTAAGTTTAGTTAACATCACCACACATAATTGCAGTTTTTTTTCTTCTGATCAAAACTTTTAAGATCTACTCTCTTAGCAACTTTCAAATATACAACACTGTGTTGTTAACTACAGCCACCATGCTGTACATAACATCCCCAGGACTCACTCATCTTATAACTGCAAGTTTAGGTGAAGTAGTCCAAAGGTACAGACTTTCAGTCACTATTTCTTTTATCTTCATGGTTCTTGTGATTGGGTTAATTGAGCTTTTTAGAATCTATAGGTTTTACTTTATATATCCTTTGGAAAGTTTTTCGCTATTCTTGAAATTTTTTTTTCTGTCTCCTCTTTCCTTTCTTTTTCTGGGACTCCCAATTACCTGTATATTAGGCTTCTTGAAGTTGTCACATTGATACTTTGTATCTTTTCCCTCACCCCCAAAACTATTTTTCCTGTTTTCATTTTGATTGTGTTTTGGTTTTTTCCCCTGTGTCTTCAAGTTCACTAATCATTTTTCTGCAATGGCTAATTGGCCTTTAATTTCATATGTTTTTTTTTTCATCTCAGCTGTTGTTTTCATCTCTGAAAGTTCTGTTTGAGCCTTTTTTACTTGTTTTATTCTCTTAATGTTCTAGTGCTTTGAAGTCCTTATCTACTAATTTTATCATCAGTCAGTTTCAATTGAATTATTTTTCTTTTCCTGGGTTATATTTTTCTACTTCTTCACGTGCCTGGTAATTTTTAAACCAGTGCCATATGTGAAGTTTACCTTAATGTATTCCTATAAATACTTTAGAGCTTTTCTGGGGTGCATTTAAGTTATTTAAAAAAATGTTTCAACATCTAACCTCCTTTTTAAGCTTTGTTTTATGAGATCACAGCATCTTTTAGGTTAGGGCTAACTTACTGGCTCTCCTGCTGACACAAGACCCTTTTGACTCTCCGATGGACTATGAATTATGAGGATTTTCACTCTGGCTCCTGAGGAACTATTCTCAGCTCTGTGTGATACTTGGGAATTCTTATCTAATTCTTTCGGAAGGTACTTCCGTAATCATATTAGTTTTCCTAGGGCTGCTATAATGAATTACCAGAATTCAGGGTGACTTGAAGCAGCAGAAATTTATTCTCACATGTTGGAGGTCAGAAGTCCAAAATCAAGGTGTTGGGCACAGTTGGTTCCTTCTGATGGCTCTGAGGAATAATCTGTTCTGTGCCTTTTTCCAAGCTCTGGTGTTTACCGGCAATCGTTGCTGTGTTGCTGCATCACCCACTCAGCTTCATCATTACCTGGCTTTCTTCCCTGTGTGTTTCTCTGTATTCTCTTCTCTCTGTATAAGAACGCCAGTCATTGGGGCCGGCCGAGTGGCGCGTTGGTTAAGAACTGGCTTGGGACGCCAGAGGGTCCCGGTTCGGATCCCACATATGAGGGCCAGTGACACTGCCCTTTACAGCTAAGATGCTGAACAACAGCTCAACCTGGAGCTGGGCTGCTGTAAGTCGCCGGCAACGGCATAGGCTGCAGCCCCTGTGGCAGTGGGTTGCCATGGGCTACCGTGTGCAGTCAGCAGCCAGCGTGAGCGGCCAGCAGCCAGCGTGAGCGGCCAGCAGCCAGCGTGAGCGGCCAGCAGCCGCAGTGAGCGGCAGTCCAGAAGCCGGCGACTGATCTGCCTCACCCGGGAAGAGCGCAATGATGGTGCCAACTTGGGCCAGTGAAGCAACGTCCTCCACAACTAGACTGAAGAACAAAACGACAGCAACTTGTCTGTTCCCCTTCCCCCAATTCCCCAGCACTGTTCCCATCCCCCCAATTCCCCCCCCCAAAAAAAAAAAAGAATGCCAGTCATTGAATTGAGGGCCCTCCCTAATCCAGTATTACCTCATCTTAACACAACCAAATGTAATGGCAAAGACCCTGTTTCCAAATAAGGTCACATTCTGAGGTGCTGGATAGACATTAATTTTAGGGAGACATGATTCAACCCCACTGCACTGATCTTGAGTATTTCCTCCCATCATTATGCTGATCAATTCTTATCAGTACTAAAAACTGGAGCTATACTATAGCTCTCCTGAGTTTTTTTCTCAACAGCTTTCCTCTGGCTGGTATTCTGCATCCTAACTCTAGACTCCTGGGCTCCTAGGTCTCCCAGCTTCATCTTCTCAACTCAGGGATACTAGTGGGCTCCACCAGGTTCTCCCTCACAGCCCCAAAGACTAAACTCACCAGGTCGGGCTCCCCGTATTTGTTTGTCTCTCTCAGGTATAACTGTACTTTGCTTGATGCTCCATGTGTTAAAACAAACAAACAAGCAAGCAAACAAACAAAAAAACATTGTTTTATATATCCTGTCCAATTTTTTAGTTGTTTAAGGCTTGAAGCAAAACTTATCTCCAATTTTAACAATCTATTTTTTTTTGTTCTAACATTTAGCATTTTTTCTATTTCACCTTACTCAGCTAAAATTTTAAATGTAATTTATACTAGTTCTGTATTCAATTTTATTTAAGTAACTGACATTACAAGCAAGAACTTTTTTTTACCAAAAGGCAAAATGTTGTTCATGTTGCTATCCATGATAGTGCATTGCTAGCCCTGGTTAGAATAAATTTTATTCAGGTAGTTCTCTTATGTGCAGCACTATCGTTGTGATATTTTTCATATAATTATCATTCTCAATAGCATTTTTTTCTTTAAAGAATAATTACATTTTAACTTCCTAAATTTTTACCTTTGAGTCTAGCCATGATAAACTGAACAACTCATTTAAGTATTCAAGTATAGGAAATAGATTGAATTATAGATATATACTATATATTTCCTTCTTCACCCCTTACTTTCAGTGTTTTATTCTGTTTATTATTCCTTTTAGTGAATTTGATGTTCCATTTCCAATTTTACAAAAGGAAAATAGGGTTAAGAGGTGTGAATGTCTTTGCTTTGTGTATGTGTGTACGGGTACACGGGGTGTGTTATATATAAGCATTTAATTGTGTGTGTGTTTATATAAATTTTATTCTATTTCATTACCTCGTGAAGTTGACTATAATATGATTTGACATGCTTTTTTATATGTAGTCTTTCTCTATAATTCAGTTACTAAATTAGCTATCCTAGAAAAACTGTTAATCATAAAAATGAATTCTGAATAGTGAACTACAGGAAAAAAGATAGTTTTGTATTCAGTTCTGTTGGTTATTTTGAGAATTCAAGTCCTAATTCTCAAGATTTATTATTTTTCTTTTTGTAGATACTCATATGAGAAATTTAAATATTATTTGTCAAATAGTAATTTTTCTCAACCATTTGATATTTTTAACACATTGTGGACCGGTGACACAGATTAGCATCTATATATTTAAATGCCCCATCCTCAGTGTGTTAAGAAGAGCAAGTCAAATGAGTGATAGGTTGGTTTTTCATTGACTTATCTTAAAATGAGAAATTGGATGTTTAAAGGACTGTATATTAATATAGCCAACAAAATTTAGAACATAGCCTAAAAAATGAAAATCGAGTTATTCATTTGAAATATAAACTAGGATATAAGCTTATTTTAATATATACTAGGAAGAATAGTGGAACACAAATAAAAGGCTACATAGGCTTATAGAGTTAGTACCCTCCTGGAAATTTGGTTGTTAACTTCCTAGAAGTCTGAGCAAAGAGGAAAAGTTCATATGTGGTAAAGCTTTTTGTGTCTGTGACAAGAGAAAAACATACTAATTCTTTCTAGGAAGCATAATTTTTATGAGCATTTAGTGCTGAAAGAAACTTCACATAGAAATACATTGGTTAGTGTTCTCAGAAGCATTCATACAACAATGAACCTTACAAAACTTACTACTTATCAAGAAGGTGGTGAAAGCACTTCCGTATTGTCAATGTTGTTATAGTATCCATGTATGAATTGTGCTAATAACAAGCTAGAAATGGATAACCTGCTGGTCCTTCAATCAGTTCTTCTTAAATATCACTCTTCTCAACTACACATTTCATAAAGATTAGACAATTTGAATCTGAGGTAGTCATTAAAAACATGTCTTCTGTTTAATGAGATTACATAGAAAATATAGCTTTTATTATTCGGTATTTTATATATGTTATGTATTAATTTTGTGTTTAGGAAGTTTTTAGTCTGAGCAACTTTGTTTTATTTTTTTATACAGATTTGATAACCCAGCTGCTGTAAGCCCAACTCCTACAAGACAGCTTACTTTTAACTACCTCCTTCCTGTGAATGCTTGGCTCCTGTTAAATCCTTCAGAGCTCTGCTGTGATTGGACCATGGGAACAATACCACTTATAGAGTCCTTTCTAGATAAACGAAATCTTGCCACATTTACTTTCTTTTGCCTTTTGGGGGCTTTGGGAGTATTCAGCCTCAGATACCCTGGTGATTCCTCCAAGACTGTTTTAATGGTAAGAAATTTTTTTTTCAATGATATTACATTCTGTTGATTAAGAGACTGCCTTTAAATCATCAAAAGCATTCTTTTAGAAACAGTCTTTTTTGTTCAACATCATCTTAATTTATGTACTTACAAATAGGTTACCCTGAAATTATATATCAGAATTTGATATGCAGGCATAATTTAACATATACCTGGCGTGCCAAAAAAATGTGTACAAGTGGACACTTTGGTCAACGTTG